CCAGCTTGCTGTTCCGTATTGGTGGATTCCATACGAGTGGTAAAGTTAAGCGGATAAAATCAATTCAAGTGTGAAGTGTGGCATTTGTAGCTCAACTGGGAGAGCATTGGCTTCGCGTAAAGGCCTTCTCTACTATGCGGGTTCAAACCCCGCCGAATGCCCCGAGTTTGTTTACACTTGGGTCAACTTAAGTTAAGCAAACCTGCGAAGCCTCCTAAATAATATCTTAGTTATATTAGTTTATAAACCAGATAATGACATCGTTTTGAGATCGGTCTACATTTTAACGTCGTAAGATTTTTGGGGACGACGCAGTCGTGGCTACTTTTGCTTAACACGCATTTGCTTGAGAGATTCGAGAAATTTTCCGAGTTAGGAAATCACTGTAGATATCCATGAAAGCCAATGACACCTCAGTGACACAGAGAAAACCGGACAGTTTAGCATTAAACGTAACCTGCAGCCGTTTGCAACGCTCTTGCAAGGGATAAGGTGGCCTTAACGTCCAAACTATGCAGTTTATTGCCCCCCTCCCCCAACAACGCTTGGCTGGCAAACTGAGTCCAGCAGGTTTTTGCTGCTTTATAAAATAGTTGACTTGTAGGAATTCAGAATTTAATTCCACAAAAAAGTATTGCGGTCGGAGTGATCACTAGTGTACCGCACTTCTTGGGGTATACGTACCCGGCGGTCTACGAAGGCACCCGATGCAGCCCCAAGGTACCAAGGTTCCTGTAACCGACCTGTGGACGCCCATCTACCGGGGCTAATACCCCCGGTCCCAACCGATGAGACAAGGGATCTGTGAGTCAATAACAGAGGGTCGTGCTGAATAGTACTTCAAGAACAAAGAACCCATGTTCAATTCAGAGCTAATCGAGACTTAAGTGATAATGATAAGCGATAATAAGCGAGATATGACCATCCCGTCCGCCTGATTCTTCTCGGTATTTCTTTCTGTTTTGTAGCTCGGTAAAGAGCAAGAGCCACCCAGCGTTCTAGCAAACCCCTGCAATGTGTACGGGGGCTTCTAGTTTTAGAAATGCAGCGTGAGGCAGCAGTTACTCAACAGTGAGAAGTCGTTATTCTATTGCCGAAAGGTGAGATTAAGGCATGTTAGCCTTGGGCAGTACATGCACCAAACAAACGCTTCAGCGGTAGCACCACTAGATAGGTGGAGTGTTTTCCGTCGATTTGCGAACTAGTTTGTAGTGACCCAACTTCGAGTGCAGCGCGCAACCTTTGGCCCCTCGCGGTCGCTAGCACATGCGCACGCACCAGCGTCTGCTTACCCCAATCCGGTCTGGCCAATCACCTTCAAGGCTGACTCACCGAGTAGCTCACTGTGACGACTGTTTTTGGACGCGCACTCGCCCGGCTGCCAACTTCCTCCAGCCTACTCTCCGCTACCTCTGTACAAAATATACTCTTTCTACCACCTAGCGTCCCACTTATTTTCTTCCCACAGGGAACCGGGCCTGAAGATCGCAGCGTCAAGGGTCTCCCCTAATAACTTAAGCCACTGCAAAAAGCCCTTAGATGCCTGTGAAT